TGATACTATACGTTACGTCCAACATTAATGCTTGCTTAAGATGAATCGTATTTCCGAGTTACCAGTGTTTTAAGCTTATAGTGACAAGGTGCAATGTCACTGACCACTGGCGTTCTTGTTGCAAAGGGATGAGCAACATATATTTGTGGGACGCACCTAACGTTATGTAGAATTATATTATTATGTTATATTATAGTTAACGTCGTATAGAGGCTGCTAATACTATAAAGAGGCTATACTATACGTGAAATTCTCCTCAGGACTTCACAAACTGAGTGTGAAATCACACATGGACAATTTGTTGATCATAGTTATTGTTACATAAACAAAATGAATTTTACGACTATTAGAACGTGCACGTGACTCTTTTGTCTCCATGACTTTCTTTTGTTGAAGAACCTGAACGTTAAGCTGGTAACGGTGGATAGGGTCCAAAGTTCGGTATCGTTACGGAGATATGCATGATTGTCCGCAGATAAAATCAATAACGTTCCAGTTTGACGCCTTCCGTTTGTATACCGGGCCCGTTACTGATGCTAATAGACCCCTTTTTGTGTTGGAACGTCAGACTAGAACACGGGCCAGATCCTATCGTGATCACCGTATTGCCGCAGTGTCAAGATACATTGCGGAACGATATATCTTATTACTCGTAGATAACGTTACATGTATCGAACGGTACCTTTCAGGCAGGTTTTCAGCTTTGATCACAGTCTTTATAAAGGCCGTTGAGGACGTCCTCAAAGATTAACCATGGGATGGTCATGCATCATCTAGTCAGGCTAGACAAAAACTGTACACATGGAATATTATAACGCATACATATTATGCGTTAAGATCATTCACTATTATGTACGCAACGTCACTACTTCATGTGCAGGTTTTGCTGTAGTTTTCAGATGAGTCGCCAGGTGCCTCCATTCGACATACTTTCATCTGCGGAAGTCGCGAGTAGAGGCGCGGGTCACCACAGGCGGGTCACATTAGGCGGTCACCACAGGCGGACTGTACCATTTCATGTGTGGGGGAGGGGCAATATCTGAAATTCAATGCCGTGTCCTGTTACAAACATTTTTTGCCTACTCGCTACCCCTCTATTACATTACAAAGCACGGAAACATAATTATTTTTCCAAATATTTACAGGTTTGCGATAGCAAAACCTGTTCTATTTTACCTGGATTTTATGGGCGCCGCCATTTTGTTTCCCGTCATGCAATGGGGCAGGTCAAAGTTGAGTGAGGTGCATTGTGGGACCTGTCACAGGCCTACAATGTAAGGACGACACCTAGCGGTATGTTTGGAAAGAGCAGTAACTGAAAGCCTACCTGGTTGTGTGTTCATTTTGGCAGAAGTGTATAGAGGCGATGGCTTTGACGTAATAAAGGCGAGTCTGATTGTGTTTAGCACTTGACGTAATTTTCTTAGCATGACGGGAAGGAAACTTGGCGGACCTAATGCGGCGGAACTTTAAAGTTGTTTTTTTATGATGAGATGGTGAGGCTTTGGTATTAGTA